TTTTCTTCTAGGACCCCTTGACTCTTCTCCCCCCGCGCCTCTAGGGCAACCACCATCTCTGGAGCAGCCTTCACCCCTTTCTTCCCTCTCTCCTCCACCATCGGAGTGCCCTCACCACCCACCCTGGCCTTCTTCGATCCAGGCACATCTGAGGCCCCCTCAGGGGCAACACTCCTCTTCTTCTTCTTCTTCAAGACCTCCCCCTCCTTGTTTGCCCTTTCCTTCACTGGATCAACGGGGGGCGGTCGTGGCTCAAAACTACCCAAGTCTTTTTCCCCTAGCGGCTTGGGGCGCGGTCGAATTCTTTTCCTCACGACCGGTTTTGGTGGCGGGCCTAACTGCGCTTCTTTGAACTTATTGGCTTTGGCAAAAATCGTCTGGTCCTCCGCCTCTTACGCTTTCCTTTTCGCCTCAAGCTCTGTCGGTGCCAGATCCCCACCAGTCAGCTGAGGGCCCAATCCTGCGGCAAACAAAGCTGACGGCTGAACGAGGTCGTCCCATCTGACGCCCTCCTTCTCCCTCCAAGCCTTCACCTTATTCACCCGCTCCTCCGCGGCCGCCCCCAGCTTTGGCTCCATAGACTTGGTGGGTACGCTCCACACCGTGCGTACTCTAACTCCGCCGTTCGCGGATACATAGAACTACCGCGGCCTCCATCCCTTAATTGATGACGGCAACCCCGCCACAAAACCCCTTCCTGCCGCCGCCTGCAAAGTGACCCAAGTTTCTTGCTGGCCAGAGGCCTTATAGCAGGCAAAAAACTCGTCCACCGTCATGGCCGCCCCCTCGTTCGCCTTCGGCCACGCACTTGCGCAGGCTAGTGCAATCTTCCATGCGTTGGGTATTAGTTGGCCTGGCGCCACTTCCAGTCGGTTGAGGACATCCACTACCACCTGTGGAAGCGGCAACCTCAACCCTCCCTTTAACGCCTCCTCGTAGAGGGCAAACTCCCCATGCCGGGCGTCGGATGGGCTCTCCGTTGCTGTCGGTAACATTAACTCTATTTCTTCAAGCACCTAGTATTTTTTTCGCATACCCTCCAGCTCCTCCGTCGTAACGGTTGACCTGTCGACCTTTGTATGCCAGTGATTTGGCTCAGCCTGGCTAATTGGCTTCGGAGCCGCTATCATTGTCAACGGACGAGGTAAACCTGCCAGGTCCCCTGACTTCTCCACTTGCCTCTCCCTCCTATATTGTTCCGCTAGGTCAACCGCGTCATCATCCCCTAGGGGATCAACCCTTGCGATGGTTGCTTCCTCTTATGCCATCTCTCTCGTATATCTTCGAATAGCTTCGAATGCAGGCGCAAGAAAATTCAAGAAGTGTTGCAGGGGCGTATCGTTAGCAACGAAGGAGTTTACGCTTGGAATGTTTTGATGTTTTGCACAAAGATAGGTAAAGCGAATAATCCCAAAGGCCCAAGGTTTGTCCGTATTCCAAGGGTCCCTATTAAATTTTTCCAGTTTGAAAATTTTTCAAAACACCGCCAAAACTGTCCTTTCAACACTCTATAATGACCTATCGTTTCACTTCTGGCCCAACGCCTAACCTCCCCCACCACGAGATGCAGCCACGTGTACGACCACGATTCACTGCCCCCTTCCCCTACCCTGTCTTTTCCACTTCAAGTCATCACGTGACGCGCCGCCTTTCGAGCCCCGCATCCCGCCACCTCACTCTTCGCGGTCGGCCCTCCTCATGATCGGTCCCTCCACTTGGCTACCCTTCGCGGTCGGCCCTCCTCATGGTCAGTCCCTCCTCTCGGCTACCCTTCGCGGTCGGCCCTCCTCATGATCGGTCCCTCCACTCGGCTACCTTTCGCGGTCGGCCCTCCTCATGGTCGGTCCCTCCACTCGGCTACCCTTCGTAGTCGGCCCTCCTCATGGTCGGTCCCTCCACTTAGCTACCCTTCGCAGTCGGCCCTCCTCATGGTCGGTCCCTCCACTCGGCTACCCTTCGCGATCGGCCCTCCTCATGATCGGTCCCTCCACTCGGCTACCCTTCGCGGTTGGCCCTCCTCATGATCGGTCCCTCCATTCGGTCACCTTTTGCGGTCGACCCTCCTCGCGGTCAGTCCCTCCACTCGGCCACTTCTGGTCGGTCGTTCCTTCCCCTCGACTTTCAACCCCTATCTTTCTCATTATTCCATTCATTGGACTAAAGCTGCACTTGGGAATGGGGGACTACTGACGTGGGTAGGCCCATAAAGGCCATAACCCACTATGAACAACCCAAGCCTACCACTTAGGGCCCAATACATAACCCAACTGATAAGGCCCAGCACCATCTGGAAGTCAACATGGCATGAAGGACCAATGATATTCAAACACGTGGCAGGTAAAGGGCAAGCCACATCAGCAGACAAAGATCTGCAAAGTTATTGCCACTGCACATCGCCATTAATACAGCCCCTCACTGCATTTATTACGACAACACCTCTCCGTCAAGACAACGCGCCTTCACCCTGAACAAGGTAAGCTACAACATAGACTTTTGGCCAAGGTGACAGGTCGGAAGGGGTAACGAAATGATTATCAAAGGATATAAGCAAACGTTGAAGACAAGAAGAAAGTTAAGCTTTTCTATCTCTAATCTATCTACATATTCCACTCTCTCTCTCTCTAACTTGCTCGTTGGAGGGTTCGTTAGGGGACTCCCCGTTTCCCGTTGAACTCTTGTGCAGGTTCTCTGGTAGGCTTGGTCATTCGGACATTAGGCTTGAGGAACGTGGATCAGTCCAACCTGTCCTACCAACAAAAACTGCAGCATCAGAATTAAAAAAGAAAAAGGAAAAAAGAAAAAATGATAGGTAACAAAAATATAGGTAAAGTTTAACGATTGTTATTTTATTTTGTATTTTCTTAGAATCTGAAAAAATTAATATGTTCAATATATATATGTTGACTTTTTAATTTTCTCTTGATTTTTTAGTCTAAAATAAGGTCGAAAACAATTTATTCAACTAAAATCAAATATAGATAGAATTAACTAGTCATATCATGCTCTGAAGTGTAAATCATCAAATTTACGAATTTTAAGAGGTTTGGAGGTAGCTAATATAATAAAAAATCACTATCAAAACATTAATTTTTTTTTCTACTCTTTTGTATGTTTTTTTTTAAAAAAAAAAGTAAAATAATTAATTCCCATATGACCTCTAAACGAACTTTGTTTTAATCATGAATAGAAGGGAGGAAAAGTACAACGAAGACGTAATTGCCAGCGGAAAAAAAGAAATGAGAAGAAAATGGAAGGAAAATCTCCTTTTAGAGGGTGCTTGCGAGTTGAATCGAGCTTTTAGAGGGTGCTTGCGAGTTGAATCGAGTTGTATTTCATCTCTCAGCCAACCAAATGGAATTGAGTGAAGAAAGTCTACCTGTTTGTGACCGCTCATAGTTTTAAAATGGACTAAACAAGTTGAGGCGTTGTTTGGGAACCGGAAGAAGAGGCTATTGTAGCCTTATTTTTGAAAATAGCCCAAAAGCTCACTGTAGCATCTTTTTTTTTCTGATTTTCAAAAAAAAAAAAAAAAAAAATTAGGCTGCTGCCGGGACAGCCGGACAGATCAACATCAAGGGCAAAATTACCATTTTGTCCTTTTATATCAATTTTAAAAATAAAAAGTTAGGGAGAAATCTGTTATTTTAAAAAAAAGATAGAGAGAAATCTGTTATTTTAAATTTAAAAATCATTTCAACACACTTTTCAATACAATAACTCAACTAAAAAATCATCTCATCTTCCCAAACACAAAAACTAAAATAGCCACTAAAATAGCCAAAAATGTGACCACTCATAGTTTTAAAATGGACTAAACAAGTTGAGTAGAATGACATTTGGATACAGATTAAGTTGGTGGATTGTGCTTACTATTTTAATTATTTATATATTTATTTTCTTAATTATTTTTCTTCATAGTTTAGGCTTTTTTTTAGCTTCTTTTTTTTTCTCATTTTTTGTTTGAAAAACAAAAAATTAAGTTTGGACTTATTTTTTTTTAAAGAAAAAAAATATATCATTTTAAATATTAAGAAATAAATATAATATATAAGTAATAAGTAGATATATTAATTTTTTAATTAAAAACCTAATTTATGCAGTTGGGTGAGATTTGAAATCCTACATATCCACTACTTTTTCAAAAATTTGAAAAATTGCATTTACTTGCCCGCTGTATCAAAACCGTCAATTTCAATCACTTAAATCATCATTTGTCATAGAAACTTGATATAATCGTTTAGATCCTCCCTTGATTATTATCTAGAGATAATTACAATAACCACGCCCAAAGTATAAATTCTCATACACTTTAATTCGCAAACTTTTAATTATTCTAATTTATATAGCCAGGCTTGAATTAAAAATGTGAACCATTTTTGCAGGAGGGTAAGATAAAATTTGATTTAAGGATCGGAAATAAATGTGTATCATATCCTTACTTAAAAAATTATAATAAAAATAAAATGAAATTTAAGTGAAAAAAAATATGATTGTTAAAAATTTGGTGAATGGTTTGATTGAATGAAAAAATTCTCTCCTTAAATTTGATAAAAAATTGGTGAAATTGTTGCAACATACATTGCAAAATCTTGCGGGGATGCAGATTTGGTTATATAATTGGAAAATACCAGAACAAATGAAAATTCAGGAAAATAAGCGAGCGCACACACAAGCTACCCAACCCAACCCAAAGATGTAGAACTTGTTTGTTCTCCTACAAAAGGGAATTAAACTTCACAAAGCACTAAAAACGAAACCAATCATGAAACTTATCCAAGCAAAACCACACCTCTCCTTAAATTTGATAAAAAAATTGGTGAAATTGCAACATACATTGCAAAATCTTGCGAGGATGCAGATTTGGTTATATAATTGGAAAATACCAGAACAAACGAAAATTCAGGAAAATAAGCGAGCGCACACACAAGCTACCCAACCCAACCCAAAGATGTAGAACTTGTTTGTTCTCCTACAAAAGGGAATTAAACTTCACAAAGCACTAAAAACGAAACCAATCATGAAACTTATCCAAGCAAAACCACACATTTATTTATTACAAAACATAAACTATAGTTTGAACAACACAAATTCAGAAACACAAAGCAAGCCTAGTACAGGACATCATATGCTCCAGTTTAAACACATAATAGTGAAAAAAGCATGAAAATAGACACCAAACTAAGACCTCAAAACACACGGTACTGGCTAGTTACCGGTGACTCTTACCATGCCTCTAGTTTTACATGGTTTAAGAATCATGTTTGTGTCGCACACACAAACATAATTTTCAGCACCATGAGAAAAGGCAGCACGAAGACATGAACCCCGGTATGGAGTCATGAACCAAGTGTTTACCCATGAAATCCCATTAGATTCACGCACAAACTCCTTTTCTAGTTGCTTAGGAAAGGAGGTTGAATTGCGTTTGGGCATTTCCAACGGTGAACAGTTTAAATCTCATCCACTTCACTACTGAGAGAATGAAATGAGATTTTTTGAACCGCCGTGTTGGCCGCTTCAAATGAAAAACATAGTATCCTTGAGGTCCAAGTGCAGAGCATAGAACCTCTCATTAAGTGAAGCAGCAGAAGATGACGACGACGATGAAGATGAAACTGAAGGAGGCGGCTGAAACTCCATGACAACCTCTTGATACTGGCGTCCCCGGTACGCAACAAGATCAGCATAGTACACCGGAGGGATGAGCGACACAGGCTTGGTGCATCGAGCAAAGGTGTAACACAAATGGTATATGAGCTTTTGTAACTTATCAGAAGTGAACTTGTTCTCATCAAACAAACAATAGTAGTGGGTTGGCTTGCTAGTCCCAAGATTTCCATAATGACTGCACAGATAAAAATCAAACTCAAAGGGATGAACAATTGTCGTGTCCACAACTGTTCCCGGAGGCACATTGCCAGATGCTCCCCCATCCCTCTCATTCTCAAGAAACAAACGAGTCTGGTGCCGCTTCTGGGCAACAACAAGAGTGATCGTAGGACGGTAGTTTCCCTCATATATGGCATTCTTCAGATCCAGTAACTCTTCATTAAGAACCATATCAAATTGGCCCTCACTAACCCCATCACGAAAAACAACAATCTTCTTCGGTTTGACTTTGTTAAGCTTAGCATAAGTGTTGACTAGGTCCAAACACATGGGCCCAAAATTCACAATCTTCTCCTTCCGGTGCTCTTGGGGGCAAATCCGAGCAACATAACGATTGGCAGCAGGCCAGTTGACTGATGCCACAACAGCTGCAATGGACGGACAAGACGCATTAAATGCTTTAGGGTGATTGACATCAGCCCCCACAAACATAACATGTTCGTCACCTTCGAAACCGGGGAGCATTCCGTTCAGTTCTACATTGCTACCCCCAAGCTTGCAATTAAGCTTCAGAGCAATGTTTGCAAGGTCCTGGTCCTTACCTTTGTTTGCAATACCAACTATGCAACATTGAGTCAATACACCAATCTGCGTCTCAGACACCCATTTGAGATACTTGTAACCATCATGCTTTCCAGACATCACACAGAAAATAAGTTGTAGTTTGCCCTTACAATTCCTACTTGCCTCTTTAACTACACTGTCAAGCAGTTCTTGAATGGTAGCTAAACTAGAGAATTTGTTCATATTGGTGAAACGACATGCAACTGGATCCTCCACTTGGATCCCCAGATTATAGCATCTAGCCCTCAGGTTGGGAATGAAACGGTCAGGATTGAGTTTATTATACCGATCATTTGCAGTGAAATCAATCAAGGCCCATCGATCGAGTGGCATGCCTTCCATAACTGATTTCCCAAGAAGGTTCCACTGACACTTATCCTTGTCAGTAATTCTTAGGACCACCGCACTGCCTGTGGAAGAACCTACCTTCAAAACAGGTGGCTCCATGCCACGACCTAACAATCTTGTCATGTCCTTCTTCACTTCAATCCCAAAATTCCGAGCAACATCTCTGCAAGACAAAGAAAATAAGAAATAAAAAAGATTGAAATCTCCTACATAAATAAAAGAAAATTAAGTAATACAGAACAAACACGGATGTAAAAATCAACTATAAGAGTATTAAGACAGTACATGCAGCCAATTCACACAAAAGAAGAAAATTTTATCAAATATAAAAATCAATGCAATCATTTTCCAGCTGAGGTGTTTTAAAAATAACAAGAATCATACACAACCTAACATTTGGGGGGCAATTTTATTATTATAGATAAGTAATCAAGATCAACACCAACTTTCTCCAAAATTTCACTTGATGTTATGTAAATGGAGCACCAAACAATGCAAACCACTACCCTGAAGTTCCACTCCCAAAGTAGCATTTGATCGTCAGTAGGGGATTGGTAGGGAAGGAGATGTGCTTAAAAAATGGGGGAAGGGACTATTTTTTATTTTTTGGAAAAAATATATATATATATATACTCACTTGTATTAGTTTATAACTGGCAACTAAATGCAACACATAAATGTTTCAGCATTCAAACTTAATATACTCCTTTGGGTTCATAAATAAAAGCAACCACCTACAAACCTTACTATAATTCTCACAGTTCACAATAGAAGTCTACTTGAAAATAATCTTTAATATATTTTTTGGATTCATAAATTTTTAAGTGTTTATTTTCTATCGGTTAGTCATGGTTTTAGGAAAAAAATGGTTTAGCTATTAGTTATAGGTGCAAACAAGTTTGTTATAGAAAAGGATAACAATTTGCTATCATCAATTTCAAAATTTTCAATCCTTATAATTTTTTTGAACACCAGTTACCTAATTTACAAAATAAAATTAAAAAAAAACCATCATGTCTTACCAGAAGAGAATTGGTTTTTAGGTCATTATGCAAATGCCCCAAAATAAAAAATAAAATAAAAACAACGAAAACAAAAGGTATTAAGGCAATGTTTTTGGAACTAATAGTAGGACCCAAAAAAAATGAAAAAGACAGAAAAAATAAAATGGTAGATTAAAAAAGAAAACATACCCACAAGGACCATCCTCAGATCGCACCATCCCATAGATAGTGTCCTTTCTCTCCCTTGGACGAGGCAATGATATTTGCTTCAAGAAGAGAGCTTGATCCCTATCCAAATGCTCCTTTGGATACCTCTGCCCGTCCACCAAAACACAGAATTCCATAGGCACATAATTTTTTCTATTACCTTTGCCCAAATCCACACAAGGCATGTCCTGGTACCTTAGTTCCCTGTTATATTTCTCCCTGAAATACTCGACGAGGCCAATTTCCCTCGGTGGATTCTCACCCTCTCGATCTTCAAGAGTGAATGTAATATCTCGCGTATTTTGATCACTGAACCCTGCTATAGTGTATTTCTGGTTTGTCAGACGGTGAGTTACATGAACTTTCAATCCTTTCAACACATGCATTACCTCTCGCATTACTTCTCTTCTTGACGTTCTCACATCATTTAGTTGAAAACCCTGTTCCATAAGGAAGTCTAGGACAGGCAATCGCTTGCGCAATGCCAACACCGAAGAGTCCAAACATAGAGCTAGACCCTGGGCAGTGGCCTTTAGGCTCTGTTGAAAGCCTCTGAAAGCTGCAACGCCATAGCCAAGGTCATCGTTTGGTCTAAATTCCTTGGAGAAAAAACTTCGACCAACAGAGTTCATATGCCTACTTGGATTATCCTTCATTACCAAATCCATCCCTTGAAATATTTCACGAGGGACATATGAGAGCATTCCTCGTAAGTAATCGTTTAGCTTTGAAACCTTCAGCTCATTCACTAACTCAATAGTGAATCTATAAGAGCGAGGCGCAGTGTCCTCTCCACCAGACAACTCCACATAGAACGTCCCAGTGGGTAGTGGCACTGCACTGAAGATGTTCTTCTCGCCATCATAAGTAGATATTAGCTCGGGAAATCGAGTGGGATCATCAGAAAATAGTTTGTCCGTAATCAAACGGAGATCAGATTTCGAAATTGGCCTCTTTGCAGCGCGACTGCCAGGAGGCATATTTGGTTTGATATCCACATCATAGTGCATTATGATGCTCTGTGGATTGAATTTCACAGGAAAGTGGTTTGCCAAGAGCCTTGTATTCCTGAAAGCAAGTGTGCCCCCATTGTCAGGTCGTTTTATGGGCACAATCTTCTTCTCTGAACTTCCTCCTGGAATAGACGATGAAGGCTTCTTTTCTGAAATTTGCAATTGCTTTATATCTGGGAACAACAAAACAAAGAAATGCTTAGTCAAATCTGAGGATTTCCATCAAAAGTTGATATCATAAAATTCGAAGATCATATGTAGCAAAGGTATCCACAATTATTAAGGTTATAGATTGTGTTTAACTTAAATTACAGTCCCTTTCTTTTCTCTCTTTTTTTTTTTTTGGGTGTGTTAATATTGCTTTTTTATCCATTAAATTAAACCTTTTTTTTTTCTTCTCCCAGTTATTGCATCTCCAACCCTTCATCAAATTTTTCATATAATTTGATTTTAATTTTGAGTAAAAAGCATGATTTGATATGAACAACTCCAACACTTCCATCAAAAAAAATTATAATCTTATCCCAAATTTTCGTTTTCACCAAATTTGAAGGAAAAAAAAATCATCCCCATTGCTTCATCTTTTAAAATTTTTATCAAATTCAAATTTGATGAATAAATGCTTCTCCCTTGAGTCAATAAAATATTTGATGAAAGGATTGAAGATTGAATTAAAATTTAATTGCATTGAATTGAATTGCAATGAAATTAAAGATGATTAAAATTAAAATTAAAATTAAAATTTAACAACCGTTTTGGATTGAAATTTACAAATTAAAATTAAAATTTACAAATTTAATAACCGTTTTGGATTGAATTGCATTGGAATTAAAGATGAAATTAATAACCAAATGATTCAATAAACAAAACTGACTATAGTTTAGGAGATAAAACTGAAAATCAACAATTAAAAAACAAGATGTAAAAATTAAGATCTAGGTCAAGACTAAGAGAGATCTACCAGGAAGAGCTTGTTCAGTAAGCTTCTGAGAAACAGGAACAGGCTGAATCGGAGGTTGAGACGACGACTGACCAGCAACAGGGCTCCCACTCCATGGTCGCCCACTCCACACTCCACGCGTTGACCCCACCCCCACACCTTGAACTTGCTGCAATGGCGCTGGTGGCCTGTAAGCACCACCACCACCACCAACCGGACCTCCCTGAACCGCCCTATCAACCCACTGTTGACCACCGCTCTGTGAGGGACCCCAAGCCCTAGCCCCTCCTCCTCCTCTTCCACCACCACCACCACCACCACCTTGATTCTGACCCTGCTGAGGAGGAGCCCAAGCCCTAGCCCCTCCTCCTCTTCCACCACCACCACCACCACATTGACCTTGATTCTGACTTAACTCGGAAGGACCCCAAGCCCTAGCCCCTCCTCTTCCACCACCCCCTTGACCCCTGCCTCTTCCTCCACCACCGTTTCCGCCTCTGCCACCACGATTACCGCCGTCGCCGCCGGAGCGGGGAAGGGCGGCGCCGCCACGTCCACGGTTGTAGTTACGTCCTCCGTCTCTCTCCATTGTTAGATGTTTAGATAGATCAGTGAATTTTTGCTTGATTTGCTTTGCTTGCTTTGCGAGTTAGAAGGGGCGGGTTTATAGAGTGAAGTGGGAGGAGTGTGTGAGACTGGAAATGAAGTTATCAAAATGCCCTCATCACTTTAGGGCCTAAGTTTTCAACACTGGTCTAAAGGTTAGGGAATCTAGAAGGATCCATGAAAATGGAGAGCTTATTTTTTATTTTTTTATTTTTATACTTTATTTCATAATTGTTAGCTAAAAAAAAATGCTTCACATTATTCATTGAATTTAGTGTTGGTGTATATATATATATATTTTTAAATCGGCATATATATTCATTAAATATGTCAAAATTATATAAAAATATATTAAAGTACATGAAGTATGAATTAAAAATTTTAATATTATTATTTAATTATTTATAGATGCTAAGTAGACGCACAACTTTTATATAAAAAAATTTAGTAAGTTGTAATAAATAAAATATCCTAATAACTTCTCACTTTACAAGTCAAAAGTGGTGGATTAATTTTATTTTTATTATTATTATAAAAAAATATTATATATAATCTTTTTAATTTAGTTCATAATTGTAAAAAAAAAATGTTTGACATTGTTTATTGAATTTATTTTTGATATATATTGGTTTGTCTTTTTAGAGAAGGGATTTTGATATATATTTGTTAAATATGTGAAAATTATACAAAAATATATTAAAGTGTATGAAATAAGAATTAAAATTTTAAAATTTAATTATTAATTAATTATTTATAGAAGCAAAGTAAGTAGGTACTCAACTTTTGTATAAAAAAATATAGTAAGTTTTAATAAATAAAATATCCCAATAACATTTCACTTTACAAGTCAAAAGTAATGGATTAATTTTGTTCAAAAGTAAAGTGGGAAAGAGGGAAGTGTCCGGAAAATTCCAGAAGGATCGATGAAAATGGAAGGAATATTTAACTATTATAAAAAAATATAGTAAGTTTTAAATCATTTGCATTAATTCTTATTCATTTTTTCTTATTAAAAAAATATCAATATAATTATATTAAAGTTTTTCATTATTGCTCATAAAAATGAAAATATTAAAATTTGTTATATATATATATATATAAAATTTTTAAAATTTTAGTTCTTAATAATAGTACTACTACTGATGATAAAAAAAAGTGCTAACCACTCCTCAATGATGTTGATGTATTCTACAACAACTGTGCTACGTAGCTTGAAAGAGAGACCCCCGAATCCCCTCGAATTCAAAAACGACGTCGTTTCGTCGTTTTGAATTTTTTTTTTTTTTCAATCAGAAAAAGAAGTAGGAAGAAGAAGAAGGAGTAGCAGAAAGAGAGAGAGACAGAGCGATCGGAGGCGGAGGCAGAGCCAGAGCCGGAGGCGACGGCGGTCGGAGGCAGACACGGAGGCGGGACTGCAACGAGCTGTTGTGACGATCGGTCGGTCGATCTGTGATCGATCGGCGGCGACGGAGGCGGAGGAGGGGTCCTCCCTCTCTCTCTCTCTCCATTCCCTCTTCTCTTTCTCTCTTTTATCTATTTCGGGCTGTTCAGAGGGGGGCAAAAATTGGGAAAAAAATCATTTTTGATTCTAAAAAATAAAATAAAAAAATAGAACAAAATTTGTAAAATGCTATTTTTATTTTATTTTTAACAAACTTCAATGACCACCCTCTCGTTTCGTCTAATTTTGTAAGAATATTTTATAATAAAAATATTTTGTAGGAATTTTTATAAAAATATTTTTATTTTTTTTATAAATAGTTATAAATAAATCACATTATTTTTTTAATTTATATATATCTTGTTTGTATTTTATTCTACCATTTTTATTACTCGTACTTTTTTTTATAAGGTAGAAATTGCGAGGAAGAGGGGGGACTGACTGATGCGTAATGTCCTTATAAGTCATCACTGTGGAAGTGTGCAGATGGAGAAGTGATTTCGTGTTTCCAACGCATTAGGACAAAAGGGTTCTGCCAATAGTTTTCGACACTTGAAGTCACCTGCTCATGCTCTTAGCACCTCCCTCTTAAGAGTTGGTTTCACCTTTCTCCCACTCGTGTACCTCGAAGGCAGCTCATTCATATGTTTATTATTAAAGTTATGTTTCGCATAAATTTTTTAAATTAAAATAGTTATAAAAAAATAAAACAAATTAAAAAATAAATAAAATAAGACATCTTATTTAAACATAATCATTTTATTTTTTTTATCACAAAAGTTAAAAAATCTTTTTTATCACAAAAGTTAAAAAATCTAAAAAATTCATCTCAAACGAAACTACTAAAATAACTAAAAATTAAAAAGTCAATTCACATCCCAAAACGAAGGCTAAATCCCGTTTATTAATAAAGTTCAATAATTATTTTAGTAAAGTGTATTGATATTTAGGGTGAGTTTAGATATGATTTATTTTTTAATTTTTTAAGAAAATATATATAAAAAAATAAAGAGATGATATAACAAAAATAAATCAATAAACTAATAAACAACGTATTTGTCTTGTTGCCAAACTCACACTTATTGAGGTTTAAAAAAAATTAGTAACAAGTCTCATAATTTTAACATAATTATATTATGTCATAAAGGGTTTGGAATGCCTATCGCACAGTTTATTGGATCTATTTTGGAGTTTTTTTTCAATAATTTGACTTATTTCGGGCTAATCGATATTCTATTAATTTGATTTTTTTATAAAAATTGAACGGTTTAAATAATCAAAATGAATCACAAAATAAGCTCAATAAACTACATGTGGACACAAAAATATTTTTTTTATTTGTTTATTATTATATTTTCAAATCATTTGCATTAATTCTTATTCATTTTTTCTTATTAAAAAAATATCAATATAGTTATATTAAAAATTTTCATTAGTGCTCATAAAAAAGTAGTGTAATTTAAAAAAAAAATAAAAACAAAATAATAATCTCTCCGTTTCAAAATAATAGTTCTGTTTGGGAAATTTAATTTTTTTGATAGTATAATTATTATATTTTACAAATATTAATTTTCTTAAATTATCATTTGATAGTACATTTTTTAAAAAAATATCAATTGTCATAATTATACTTTTTGTATTGTTAATGAATTTAAAAGAAGAGTAACATAAAAAATTTATATTATTTTATTTCTTAATTTTTGAAAAAAATTATATTTTAAGATAATAAAAAATAAAATAAAAAACTAAAATATTTTATAACAGAAAAAGTAACATAAATGAATATGATTTTGGGGACATATGTCAAAATTCCCAACTCATAAGTTTTTTTTATATTTTTTAATGAAACAGAGACTCAAGTAAAAGGCGTACGAGTAGTTGCGTGGGAATATTATAGGGGTTCAAATTCAAAGTCAAAAACGGTTATGTACGGAATAATATTTTTTTTTGGATGTGGGGTCACCATGGCGTATTCTTTGGACTTTTCCGTGTTTATTGCTAACATGTGCTTCAAGGCAAGTTTGGGATAAATTTCTTCGTTGAGGGATTTATTTGGGAGAAATATAAGACGGTGCTATAAAGAAAAAATAATTATAAAAATATATGGGGTATAAATTATTTTATGATAAAATACAAGTAAAAAGTTATAGGAGGTGAAAGTGTAACTTGCACTTTTTATTGTTTGTGTAGAAATTTTTTTATCTCCCACTGAGATCGAATTCTTACTTTTTATTTTTAAACAAAAAAATTAAGAATCATTGTAAATTGTCATTTCTTTCTTTTTATTTTTCAAACATTTTTTATAAAAAATATAAAAATAAGAAAAGAAATAAACTCCAAACACCCTTAATAGTCAAAAATCTAAAACTTTTTATAAAAAAAAAAAATCAATTTTTTTTATATATATTTTTTTTTCATGAAATACTAAAAAAAGAGGTCATAATCAATAAGTAAATAAACTGTTTATTTAGGTGGTACCAAAAAAGGCCATAATCTAGTTCATAATTGTTAAAAAAAAAAATAATGCTTCACATTGTTTATTGAATTTAGTGTTTGTATATATGTTTGTTAAATATGTGAAAATTATCTAAAAATATATTAAACTACATCAAATATGAATTAAAATTTCAAATTATTATTTAATTATTTATAGATGCTAAGTAGACACTCAACTTTTATATTAAAAAAATATGAAAAATTAGTAAAACATTCCTCTCTAACTTTGTGTAATATGAGAGATTTAATATTTTTTTTTTATTAACTAAGGTCTTTCAACATTTTCACAGAGAAAATTCGACTCAGAGAAATTTCCTTCAACTCAGAGAAATTTCGACCCAAACTTAGAGAAATTTTGAAATTTCTATGATATGATCATCGAAAATTTCTCTAAGTTAGGGTAAAATTTCTTTAAGTTAGACAAAATTTTTCTAAGTCAGGCAAAATTTCTCTGAGTCAAAATTTTTCTATAGAAATGTTAGGGGACCTTAACTACTATAAAAATATTGTATGTCATTTATCTCATAAAATCTTAATATTAGGGATCTTAAAAAAAATTCTCTCAAAAAATATAATAAATTTTAATCAATAAAATATCCTAATAACTTCTCACTTTACAAGTAAGAAGTAGCGGATTAGTTTTATTTTTATTATTATTATAAAAAAAATGTTTGACATTGTTTATTGAATTTATGGGTTGTTTGGAAAATAAGTATATTTTTTGACTTTTTATTAAAAAAAAAAAAGATATGCAAAGTGACAAAAAAGTGATATGACCAAATAAGAGGTTATATGACCCAAATACAATAAAAGGATGTGCTAAAGTAGATTATGCCAAACAACACCTTAGGGTTGGTTTGGAGTGTACTAAAAAAGTGCACTTTTTGTCTTTTTATGAAAAGATGTGCAGAAAAGTAGAGAGGTGATGTGATGGAAAAAAGATAAAAAGATAAAAAGATGGATTATATAGGTTATGCCAAACGAGGCCTTAATTTTAATATATATTTGTTAAATATATGAAAATTATAAAAATATATATATTAAAGTATATGAAATATGAATTAAAATTTTAAATTATTATTATTAATTAATTATTTATAGAAGCAGAGTATGTAGATACTCAACTTTTTTTATAAAAAATATAGTAAGTTTTAATAAATAAAATATCCTAATAACTTCTCACATGATTGCTTG